CTGCCCCATCCCTGACAGTGTTGAAGGGCAGGTTGGATGGGGCTTGGAGCAGCCTGGGCTGCTGGGAGGTGTCCCTGCCCATGCAGGGGTGTTGGAATGGGATGGTCTTTAACGTCCTTGGCAACCAAAACCATTCTGTGTTTGATGATTCTATGATTCCTCAACAGGATTTCAAACAGTTTTTATGCTCCTGGAGCCTAACGAGTGTCTCCAGACAGCAGGATGACAGGGGTGTGAGCCCTTTACACACATTGCAAGGGGCTGGAAACCTCAGGGGCCTGTCAGGGTCATTTCCTTATGGGCAGATGAGACCCTCTTTTGCCAAAAATGCCTCTAACACAAGAATGTGTTAAGGAAAGTGTAGCTGGAGGTGGTGGCTGTGCTCCTGCTCTTTTTTTTTTTTGCTCCTTATTCTTAAAAAACACTTAATAAGTGAATTATCTTACTGAGCTAGCTTCTGTGCAGTACTTTTTCTGATTCAAAGCACAGCAGTCCTCTCAGTTCTGCATGGCAGAAGCTTTGTTATACATCACAGGGACTGGGAAGGTATAAAACAAATCTGGGCTGCACTTTTAGCCATATAAATTAACCTATAAAAAGTTTTAATTTCTGTGTCAGTGTACTGTTTTACTGCAAAGATTCACTTCAATTCACTCTCCTTAAATTTAACTGGGAGGTTTATATTCTTTCCTACTTGGACTCCTAAATGGAAAATAAAGTTTGCTTGATGTAAGAGCTGCTAAAAAAGTAATTTAAGGTTCCAACCACTCTGACATTTATTTGTTATATTTGTGCAGAGCTTCATGGCTTTACATTCATTTTATGCTGAGGCCTTTAAATATAACTATGTAAAAGGTGAAAAATAGCCCAGTAGAGGAGTAAGTTTTGCAGACCAGCTAGTGGCACCAGTGAATACCATTTTAAAGCTCTCTGTGCTGCTTAGGTGACCTCAGGTTTGCAGCCCAGCACCCTCTGTATTGCTGGTGCCAGATCCTTGGCATGAATGTCCTTGCTCTTCCACTACTTCTGCTAAAGCTCACCCAGATCTCAGGAATCCCTCTCAGACACAGCCATGAACACTTGGCTTTCAGCCTTCCCAGTCATCTCTTCTGTCCCTCTACTGTCCATTTTATTATGTTCAGACACTAAATAATGTTTCTCTCCTTCACTGTTCAGATTTCTTGGGTTTATCCTGACTTCACCAACGCAAAGCTCACCCACTTTGATCAGCCCCCTTGTACTTGGCCCCATGCTCTGGGAGTACTTTAATGTTCATATCCCTGTTCTCTGCACCCCTCCTCCCCAGTCCTGCCACTCTGTTCCCCTCAATCACGGATCCCTACACTTTTTGCACATTCCTCTCCTTCAGTTTTCCTCCAATTCCTCCCTGCAATGCCTGTGCCATCACACATGCCAAATCATTCCTCTTAGAATCACATCATCACAGAATGGTTTGGGTGGGAAGGGACCTGTCAAGGCCATCTAGTCCAACCCCCTGCATTGAGCAGGGGCATCTGCAACCAGATCAGGTTGCTCAGAGCTCCATTCAACTCACCTGGAATGTTTCCAGGGATGGGGAATCTGCCACCTCTCTGATCAACCTGGGGCAGGGTTTTACCACCCTCTGTGTAAATAATTGCTTCCTGATACCTAGTTTGAATCTCCCCTCTTTCATTTTAAAGCCATCACCCCTTGTCCTTTTGCTACAGGCCCTCTTCTGTCATTACCTCTCACACATAGAAATAAAAACAATGGGTCAGGACCAGAAATTACCCAGAAAGTAAAACCCAACCTGCATGTTTAAGGCAGCAGCTTTGACTTGCATTGAATGACCCCTCCACCCCAGGGGCCCTGGAGATCACAGAGAGGGGAACAGAGGAGCCTGGGGAACACAGCACCATGTGGGTCTGCTCCAGTTACAAGCAGCTGAATTGAGAACTGCCCAGAATAGTCCATCACCTTCTCACTGTCAAACCAGGAATAAAATGTGTAAAACCCTGCCAGAACATGCATGCTCCTGGTGGGGAAGCCCATGGCTCCTGTGCCAGGAGCTCAGTGCAGGCTGTGCTGCTGCTTTGGGGCCTTTCAGCAAAGACTCAGAGATCATTCATTGTCCTGCATAAGATACACGTATTTCTAGAGACCTCAAACACAGGCAACGTGCAATGGACCCTGAATATTCTTTCACAGGATGTAATTTTATATTCCAGTTGCTAATCTGAAATTAAAAAAAAAAACCCAAGACATTTTTATATTGTCTACCAGCATCTTCTGCAAACTGAAAGGTATTTTGTTACCAAGCAAGTTAGCTGCTGTTCTGCCATTAAAGATTTAAAGCAGGGAAAGCAGCTCTGCCCATGAAGCAGCTTTCAGAGCTGAAACGGAGCTGGGAGATCTGGTGTCAGAAAGTAAGAAAGGGTCACTGTACACAGGTGTCCCCCCTCTGAAAACTGAACACTCCTGTTCCTGGTGGGGGATGCACAAGCCATTACCTGAAATGAAGTTGGGGGGTTGATATTAACCCGGGCCTGGTTCCAGTGCTGCCCTTTATTTCCACTTGAGGACCACAGGGGGTTCTCTATCGCCGTCTGGCCTTTCAACCGCAGGTAAACGTTCAGGCTTCCTGGAAGAGAGGTGGAGACCTGGCATTGGTTAGGCTGTCTGATGGAGCTGAGTTTCACGTGCTGTAGAGCAAACCAGGCATTTATCACCTCCTCACCCACGGGCAAACGAGCACCTCGGTTGCTTTCTGCTCAGCTCTTGCTTATAAAGATGGTCCAAGTTCTTGTTTCCTCAGGACATTGTGCCCATAGAGCCTGGCAAACCTACCTCAGGGATAGATGTGATGCCCTTAACTCTTGCTAAGGAGAATTTTTGAAGGACAACATAATCTTCTGAGTTAAAATAAGCTTGGAAAAGTCCCTCACTGGAAAGAAAAGCCCCACAGGGTCCCTTCCTCGCTGCTAACCATGAAGTTAGTGGCTCCAGCACAGACATTACTTGCAACAGGTAGCAGATGGCCTGCATTCAGCAGCTCTTCTCTCTGGTTAGCTTCACTGTCTCAGACCATGAACAGCAACCAGACTGTCTTGGTGCACCAAGAGACAGCAAATGCTTTGACTTCATTTATCAGGGTTCAGTAACATGCAGAGTTGGGAGATTTTGTTCCTTCTTGCCCACCACTGTTACCAGCAGATGTGTGGGGCAGTGGTGTCTCTTTGTACCATGGAAATCACTGCTCAGTTCAGACAGGCGAGTTCACATGAGACCACTTTCTCTCTAGGGCTCCAGGCATGGCAGCTGGGAAGCCCACACAAATGAGGTTTGCAAGGAAGCCTCACAGATCTGAGGCAGCTGCAAAGTGACTCAGCTCCTGCTAAGAAAAAGTTCTTATTTCTAGCCACAGCAAAACTCACTGCCTTGAAAAACCCAAGGCTGCATGCATCAGGGAGCAGCAAATATTCTCATCACGACTGTTTCACCAGGGTGCCCAGCATGAGACCATCCATCTTTGGTGAAGGAGCTGGGGGAGCCAAGCTCACCAGAGACTGGGAGGCCCCAGCAGCTCCCACCTGCCTCCCAAAATGCTGTTGGATTTCTCAGCTGCAGGGGAGGGTGCAGAGGCAGGAGAAAGGAAACAGCTTCTAACAAGGACAAGGTCTGCCTGCACACCCACTGCTGGGTGCACCACAAGGGCTTGAAGGAGCTAGCAAGAGGGTGATTTCTCAGGAGGGTTTCCTGGAGAAGCCCAGCCCCATAACACATCTCAGGGCTGGGCAGGGCTGCTCCCAGCAAGGGGCTGCTCAGCCTGATTCCAACCAGCAGCAGCAGTTCTTGGGCCAGCTTGACATTATTCAGCTGCAACAATTCTCCCTTCCTTCCCATCTGCTTCTCTCCAAGACTTTTTCCAACTGTGCTGTTTCTACAGTCTGAGAAAAGGCAGGGTCTGAGACAAGACTACAAAAAGTTCTAAAATAGAGTTATATATAAAGCTATTCTTCAACAAGACAAAAAGCAATGCCCTTATCAAGCAAGGGATGAATTGCTGAATGTTTTATTCACTTGTTTGTGCAGGCTGAGACAGCCCATACTGCAGGGCTCTTTGGAATAACTCAGGACTTTGGTATCAAAAGCATGGAATTCTGTCACTGCTGAGGCTACAGAGATTCAGGGCTGTTCACAGCATGCTCTGCCTCTCTGTGTCATGCAAATTCTTCAAATTAACAGCAGAATTATAGCAGTGGTACTGAAAGTACAAAATAGCCAGTACTGCCCCAGCTGTGCTCAGTCATTGCACAGGATGTTGGTTAGTATGGAGGGACCTGCCCGTCCCTCACTGTGAGATGTGCACAAAGACCTGCCTGGAATGGCACTCTCTGCTGATAAGAAAAAATATTGCTCTTCAAGTGTCACTGAGAAATACTCCTTTTTGGGATTAGGTGGAAAAATAAAAAATACTGATTGTTTTAGAATGGTTTGGGTTAGAAGGGACCTTAAAGATCATCAGGTTCCAACCCCCCTGCATGGGCAGGGACACCTCCCACCAGCCCAGGCTGCTCCAAGCCCCATCCAACCTGCCCTTCAACACTGCCAGGGATGGGGCAGCCACAGCTTCTCTGGGCAACCTATTCCAGTGCCTTCCTACTCTCACGGTGAAGAATTTCTTCCTGATGTTTAACCTCAATCTCCCCTCTTCCAGTTTAAAACCACCACCCCTTTTCCTGTCACTGCCCTCTCTGGTGAAAAGCCAGCTTTCCTGTAGGCTCCCTTAAAAGATGGTGGCAGCTACAAGGGAACCACAGCCCCTTTCTGTCTCGACACAGACATGAAAAGAACAGCACCTCTTCATTTTCCTGTTCCCCAGCAACAGTGTATTGTTTGCTGCAAATCATGTAATGGGAGGTTCTATTTCTCTTACTCTTTAGTGATAATCTGCCTTCTCCCTGGGAAGGCTGTGGAGTGAAGCACATGCTCTCTCTGGCAGGCAGCACTCTCTGAGTTAGCTCTGTGTGATCTGTCAGGAATTACAACCTGACTTGTAAGGAAGAGCCATCTATTTCAGGTAAAAAAAAACCACCACCTTATCTTTCTGAATCTAACTGCCACGGCGTGGGTTGAAGGTGCCTGTTTATCTCCTCAGAGCTTTGCTGCAGCCTGAGCACCAGTCTGGGATCCACGCTCTGCTCCCTGCACAGACTCCCAAGTACCTCTCCTTATCACTGCAGAAATTTCCAGCCTCTTCTCCAGAGACACTGGAGACCTGAACAGCAGGCACAGGAGCTGAGCTGGATAAACTGGTAGGCTGTTTGTTTTCATTACAGCACAACAGCCATCTTCTCAAACTGATGTCACTGTGGTCACTCGTTTTAAGACTCCTGGATGAAACACCTTTCCACTAAGCCTCCAGGACAAGCCCATACCAGCAACAGAGCATCACTCCAGGGTGATTTTCCATGTTATCAGGGATCTTTCAAAACCTTGTCAGAAATGTAAAAACATCTTTATGAGCACAGAATCATCAAATCCCAGACTGCTTTGGGTGGGAAGAGACCTTAAAGGTCATCCAGTCCCACCCCCCTGCATGGGCAGGGACACCTCCCAGCAGCCCAGGCTGCTCCAAGCCCCATCCAACCTGCCCTTCAGCACTGCCAGGGATGGGGCAGCCACAGCTTTCCTGGGCAGCCTGGGCCAGGCTCTCACCACCCTCACACTAAGGAGTTTCTTTCTAATATCTCACCTAAATCTCCCCTCTTCCAGTTTTAATCCATCCCCGTCATCCCATCCCTCCCTGCCCTTGTCCCAAGCCCCTCCCCAGCTTTCCTGGAGCCCCTTCAGGCACTGGAAGCTGCTCTAAGGTCTCCCTGGAGCCTTCTCTTCTCCAGGCTGAACACCCCAACTCTCCCAGCCTGGTTCCAGAGCAGAGCTGCTCCAGCCCCATGTACTTTGCCCCTGGAGAAATGGGAACTACAACCCTAAAACTGAGTGGAGATCTGATGGACACTGACACCCAGGGAGAATAAAGCAACCCAGCAGAAATGCTGACTTGCAGCACCAAGGTTTGCTGCACAGTGCTACAGCACTTGGGATGAGCTATCAAAGTTTAATGTCTGATGTCTATTCTCTGAACACACTGCCTTGCTAGCTCTTTCAGTGTTCAGAAGGAACAGGCTGGGATTTATTTAAGGCAAATTCCCCTGCAAGACACTTCCAGTTGTCAGTGAAGTCAGGTCAAGAATCAGCAGCTCAAGGTTATTCAAAAGAGAGAGGCTTCAGCACAGGGATCGTACAGGAGGTCTCAGCCAGCAGTTCCTACCCTGCTCTGGGGAAGGCCCCAGTGCTCTGGCAGTGCACATGACAGCCCTTCCCAAACAGGGATCAGAAGCTCTTTCTCTAAGTTGCCTGCAAATTCCAGAACAGCAGTGAAGGGTCCAGGCTGTGATAACAGAGTCAATCTGTTTTAGCAATGAGATTTAGAATTATCCACAGGGGACTAATCCTTAATAAAATGTAATTCCTCTGAAAAATGTATTAACAATTAAATATTTCCCACAGAATTGCTCAGCTTAGAGGCACCTATGGAGACTGAGATGTCCAACCCCCTGCCCAAAGCATGGCTGGCTAGAGCAGGTTGTCTGGGACTATGTGCAATTGGATTTTGGATATCTCCAAGGACAGAGACCTCAGCCTGTCTGGGCACCCTGTGCCAGTGTTTGAGCACCTTCATAGTGAACCAAAATAAATTATATTTTCTCTTATACTGAAATAGAATTGCCTCTATTCCAATTTGTGCCCATTGTCTGTTCTCCAGTCCCTGAGCACCTCTGAGCTCCAAATGCTTTACACCCTCTCTTCAGGAATTAATACACATTGATGAGATCTCCCTGAGCTGCCTCCTCCTCACGCTGAGCAGTCCAAGCTCCCTCAGCTTTTCCTCATGGGGGATACTTGGAGCTTCAGTCTCTTCACCATCTCTGTAGCTCCAAGCTGGACTCCCTCCAGGAAGCCCATGTCAGTCTTGTCATGAGTAGATTTGTTTCATCTGGGCAAATCCCTTTCCTTACTCAGAGTAATTTCCGAGACTACAAACATTTAAAGACTCCTTCAAGTAATTGCCTCATCAATATGACTATTCATACAATAATCATGTGCTTAAATCATTGAAGTCTTAGAACTGCATCACTTACTAGGTTTTTCTTTTCTCTTCATTATCCTCATCTGAACAATTTCAGTGACAGAGTTCACAGCTGGGGAATTTATTTGCTGATTTCATCATTTATTTCTTGTACGCATTTGTATTCTCATGTGTTTCATAACATTTTGTCATTATGGGGAATTAAAATGCTGAATGTAGTGGATGTGTATGAGCATGCATGCAAACACATGGCTGACATTATTCATTTACTCTTTTTCTGTCAGTCTGCTCTCAATTCAGTGATAATAAGTAATTTTGTACAAATCTATTCAAAAGTAGATCACTTTGAACACGAGCTAAGATGATGGTAACTGTATTTTTTAACATAGAAGAGGAAAAGTGGGGCCTTGAGCAACCTGATCTAGTGGGAGGTGTCCCTGCCCATGCAGGGGTTGGAACTAGATGATCTATAAGGTCCCTTCCAACCCAACCCATTCTATGATTCTGTAAGTGATATTGAGCAATTTTGGTTTATGACAACTAGGTGTCCAGGTTGTCATGAACGAGCCCCGTGTAACTGTGATCCCTGACCATCTGTCACCATTGTCACCTGTGGGTCAGCTCCATCAGCCAGCTCCATACAGTTCAGTTCAAGATATTACACTTCAATAAGAGAGGGCAATCTCAGACAAAAAGCTAAAGACACCAACACCTCTTGAAAAGGCAGCCCAGAAGAAAACCCAGAATTGCCCCAACTGTTTCATGGACAGACCTTGGCCTTTGTGGCTGCTTTTCTTATACTTTATGCCAACCCCAGAGGCATTCCAGAAAAACTCTTTCAGCTTTTATGTTTGTAACTTTGCTCTTCACTCCCCTGTGCCAGAGATACTCTTCGTGTATGACCCTATGGGCAGCTGATGGTTTTTTCCCTGAGCATGGCATGGCTCAGTCACTGCCTTCCAACAAACAGCCAAGCTCCTGCTGCAATGTAGAGCCAGGAGAATTGAAACCTGGGGCTGTGCTCACATGCTCAGCAGTGCACAGACAACAAACCAAAAACTAAGTGAACTTGTCTGCTCTACCTAAAGCCTGAACTCTGCCTGGAGGGAGGCTTCCTGAAGCAACCACCAGAACATAGAGTAAGGGTGTGCTTGTCTTTGAAATATATGTAAGATACAGTAAGTCAGGTCAGCCTGGCACTGGAAAGCCTCTTGACACACTGGTAAGCACTGGACAACCTACTGGGATTTACAGGATCTAGAAAAACTGTTTGTCTGTCATTGGCACTTTTATATTTCCACCCCCCCCCCCTTTTTTTTTTTTCATACTATACAAACAAATTACATGCATGTGTTGAAAGAGCTGTGGCTAAAAAAACACAGATACACCTTGAAAATACACATTCCCACAGCTTGTGAGGGACCTGTTTGTGACTTTTACCAAGGAAACATGTGCCACAGCATCTCCCCACAGGCCATGCAGCTCCAGCTGCCCCATGGGGGGAGCCCTGCTGATGGCTGCTCCATCCTGGCTCTGGAGGAGTGACTCAAAACACTGGGTTAGTGTCAGGCAAAGTCCTCAAAAATATCCCCTCTTCTGTCTCTGGGCTCTGAAGTCCCCATGCTCACAACCTCACACATGCACAAAACACTCCCCAGCCTTAGGAGGCTGCTAGTGGGCTGATGAGTGGAGAACACAATGAAGTCACTACCAGGTACATCCCTTCTAGCTTTGCTTGCAACTGGCCCTTGCAGGTGCTGGCAGTGCTGCCGTGCTTTCCTTTCATGCAAGTGGACATTTCTCCCCGTTTGTCCCCAAGAGAAAAGACAAGGCCACTGGCTTCCTCTCACCTATGTGCTGTCCATACATGTGATAGTAGAAGCTAAAGCAATAGGCTGACAGATACACCTTGAAAATACACATTCCCACAGCTTGTGAGGGACCTGTTTGTGACTTTTACCAAGGAAACATGTGCCACAGCATCTCCCCACAGGCCATGCAGCTCCAGCTGCCCCATGGGGGGAGCCCTGCTGATGGCTGCTCCATCCTGGCTCTGGAGGAGTGACTCAAAACACTGGGTTAGTGTCAGGCAAAGTCCTCAAAAATATCCCCTCTTCTGTCTCTGGGCTCTGAAGTCCCCATGCTCACAACCTCACACATGCACAAAACACTCCCCAGCCTTAGGAGGGGCCCCTGCTAGTGGGCTGATGAGTGGAGAACACAATGAAGTCACTACCAGGTACATCCCTTCTAGCTTTGCTTGCAACTGGCCCTTGCAGGTGCTGGCAGTGCTGCCGTGCTTTCCTTTCATGCAAGTGGACATTTCTCCCCGTTTGTCCCCAAGAGAAAAGACAAGGCCACTGGCTTCCTCTCACCTATGTGCTGTCCATACATGTGATAGTAGAAGCTAAAGCAATAGGCTGTGTTTGTAGCTCCGTAAGGGTTTTTCGGAGCGACGCTGAAGACGGGACTAACAAGTCGGGCCTTCTCTCCTTCCAGCCTGGGCCGGGAGGTCTCGATGTACATGTAGAAACCTGGGGGAAGGCCAAATGGAAATCGTTAGGCTGCAGTCTGCAAAACCCAACACACATCCAGGCAGGTGGACACCAGGGCTACAAAGCATCCGGATTAATTATTCACATTCATCCGACATCACCGCGGCTTCTGGCACAGGTTTCGTCTCTATTGAGCTCATGTGTTTTGCACAACTGCTTCAAAGACATGTTTTCTACCAAGAGTAAAATCAGGGCTAGCAGGTCAGTGCTGGTAAACAACTTGAAATCGATGTAACATTGTGTATGCAGAAGAAAAGGAAGAAGTCTTTAGGAGGGGGTTCAGACTTCAGTCTCGAGGTTGCAATATGTTCCTGTAAACAGTGAGCAGGGAGGGCTCTTAAAATAAAGATCTTGATAGAAAACTCTGAACAAACGTTTTCAACTGCCCATGTCAATCACATGTTTGAAAGCTCCCTTTCAAAACAAGACAATAGGCATTTATTCTGATCCTGGACTGTGCCAACCACAGAGAAACTATTCACTTCACCCAACCAAGCAAATACAATGTGGTGGGATTTTTTTCCCCCCTTTCGTAGTGCAAGCAGGGGGCACACAATTAACTAAGGTGAGTTACTGCAGTACTTGGTAAATTCAGCACAGTATGTCTGGCTTTTCAAATGCAAAAACACACTGCAGTCAAGATGGCACACTTCTGCCAATTGGGCTAGCAGATTGAAAATCACACGTTTTAGCAACACCTGAAGTGAAAATGGGGCAGAAAAAACCCCAAACAATAAAAACATCTCATTGTGACAGTCTGAGAGAGCCCCAGTTAGAATTTAAATGCCATAAAGCAGAAGAATATTTCAATATGTGCCAGAATACCTCCCCACTAGAATGTAAGGTGAAAGCAATGGCTTTGGAAATGGCACAATGGAAACAAGACAAGATGGTTAATGGCCCTGTTAGTGGGTTGTGCTTGGGGACCAGCCTCAGCACTGGCTTTTCCTTTTGGAAGTCCTTGAGATATGCTGCTTCTTGGAACAATAAGGAAAAATGTCATGGCTGGCTGAACTGGCTGTCCTGAAGAGGACAGAGCAGAAGAGCTCCCCAGGGCAGGGGCCCAGGAGCACCCCAGGAACTTACCTTCCTTGGAGCCCGTCCGATCCGCGTTGGGCCCCGTGTTGGGGGTGTATTTTGTGTCTCTGGTGGCAGTGCTTTGTTTTGTCCAGTCAAAATTGTCTGTGTCATCTTGAGTGAAAAGGCAAATGTTACCATCCTCAAACCCACAGTGGAACTCTCCTGCCAAGGCAGCAAATCAGCAGAGATTTAGTGTTTGAAGCTATTCCTCTTATGCCTGTTTGTCAAAGTACTTCTCAATTATAACAAACACGCTGTGGGATGATGCTTATTAATAGCTCTGGAAAACAGACATACTTGAAATAATATTCAAATTCTATTGTACAGCTCCTCCTCACATATCCAGATATATACAATTGCCCTTAGAGACTTTTTTTCTTCTTACCCAGCCAGCATTCTTAAAAAGCTGACAAGAACAGGCAGCATGTCTGTAAAACATGAACTATGGGGGAAAAAGAGTGAGAAGTGAGCTATTTTGGTTTAGGGATAAGAACATCAGGGAAAAGAGAACAGCAGCTTTTCACAATGGAAACATTATCTCCAAGTGACATCTCCTAAATTATTCTTGGTTTTCAATAGGGATGGGAAAGCAAGTAATGGCTGAAATGAGAGCAAAGGAGCCTTAGACATGAAGAAAATCTCTTAGAATCAGGACAGTGAATCACATGAGTAGATTGCTCAGGGAGAGCACTGAGTGCCAATCACTGGATTGTAATAACCAATTAGACAAATACCTGGGAGGAAGGTTTAGGTCTATCTGAACCTATCTGGACAGGATAAGTGACCATATCATGAAAGCTCTCCTAGACTTCCACTAAGATTTCTGTTATGTACTTGAGGTTAAGTGGTTAAAATTTAGGATTAAAGACTAAAAATGCCAAGAGCCCCTGAGAGGATTACTGGGGTCTACTGGGGTCCTCTCCTTTGCAATACAGAGGTCTGTGAGACACACCAGTCCAGTGACCCTGCCTGCTGGGTTGTGATGGGATGAGATAAAAGCCCTACTGCCAGACATTTAGGAGCCAAAACAAATGAAAACTTCAAGGTTCAGCTTTCACCTCAGAACAGAGCAAGGCCCCATGTAGTCAAATGTGCAAAAGCTTAATTTTATGCAGAAGAACAGTTCCTGCTGAGTTTACTCTTCCAGGAAAGTCAATTGATTTATCTGAGAAAACAAGCAGATAGCTCTTCTCGAGGGAACAGGCAGCTGCCTGCACACTGTGTCATCTATGGCCCTCCTTCCAGGGCTGCAATTTGTATTCATTGTTAGGAGGAACTCTGACACCAGGCGTCATGGGATTGTTCACTGGTGTTGAATTGAGAAGGTATATAAATGTTTGCACGTTTGGGCTTTCGGTGAATTGTAAATCCACTTAAGCCACTGGAGCTTCAGAGTAAAGCAGTGAAGACAGAGGGGCCTGGAGCTTAGCTTGGGTATGTACCACTCAGCAAGGATGCTGGCCTGAAGCTTTGGTAAAATCAGGCAATACTACAGACTGAAAAAACAGCCTTAAAAAATTCATTCCAAACCACCAGGTGCATTAGGAGTGATTTCCAAGTCTTCCTCACTCTGCTTCTGCCTGTCCAACAAGCAACACATCCTGTGCCCTCTCCACAAGTCAGCAGAAAGCACTGTGCAGTAACACCAGGTCATCACCAGAACACAGCCCAGGGCAGCTTCCCTGGCTGTCAGCACCTGAAGCAGATTGACTTGATTTCTCAGCAAATCCATCAACTTTATTAGATCATCCAGAAGAATTAATTTCCTCAAGGACAATTCCTTAACTTGCAAAATGGCTGAAAACCACCAGCCTGATGGTGGAGCCCACTGCAGAACCTTGCACCCTGGCTTGCTTCTGGAATGCAAGGTCTTCTGAATCCTGAATTTTGACTGATGAAAAAGTGGCAATATAGAAAAATCATTGCATGGAGAAGCACCATTGTGGGCATTGCAGAGAAGAAATACAAGTAGAGGCCTGATTGTGGATCTTCCCGAGAGATGAGCAGCTCAGAGAAGGAGGCCATGGGCAACACACTTGGGCAGGTGACATCCAAAGGCCTTGGCAAGAGGAGCATGTGAATAGATACAGACCAACATCTCCATCCTTATCCCAAAGACCAGGAAGAGAATGCAAAGACCCTGACAAAGCTGAAAACACAAGGACCCAAATGAAGCACAACATGCCACCTGTGCCTCACATCTCCAACAACCCCTTCTACACGACTTGAGCTCCGGATTTCCTTGGTTTACCCTCTGTTCTGTACATTGGGCTTCCAATTCCATTTATGCAAACCCTTCTTCTAGCAAGAATGGTGCCACTTCTTCTACACAGCGTGGTGACATTAAAGGGCAAAACAGTAACTAAAGGAGAAAAGCTCTGATTGCCAGATCAGCAAAGTGAACCAACACCGAACATTTTCAACCATTCAGCAGTTTCTAACACTGCCCCTCCAGTACCTTAAAAGCTGCATTTGCATGTTGCATCATGCCCTCAGAGCTTCATCAAGAAATTCCACATCAGCATAACAGTTTTAAAAAAATAAATTAAAATCTTCAGGGCAGATGAAAAAAAGGTAAGTAAAAGTTTGCCATTTATTTCATAGGAAAGCACTGGTTTCATGTGGGACTCCACCATCTGGAACACAGTGGGAAAGGTTAGTTCTAAATATTCTGGGCACTCAACACTTCTGGAAAAAAAGGGCAGAAGAATAAAAATGGGAAGTAGTTCCCCAGGATTGCCTCAGCACTTTTCTCAGGAAAGAAGTAGGAACATTTAAATAGATCTGGATGGTCCTGAGCTGTTCATTAATGGGGCAGACTGAGTGCAGGAGGAACACTCAGCACTTTCCCAAGCACCCATGGGTGCTCCAGCTCACGACAGCTCTCACACCACTATAGTGTTCATTAACATGAAAGAGAGTGGTCAGGTTTTGTTAAAGCACATGCCAGCTCTGGCAGTGGGTTCAGGTTAGTAATAAATTCATTGTCAATTAGGGCAAAATCTGAAACAGTTCTCAAGGTGAAACACTCTTCATTGTAGTATGATTTTTTAACACCCATTTCCACAAAATTCAAGTTGAATTGGACTCTAATATCTTATCTCTTCCATTATTCAGGTGTAACATCTAATACCACTAATTGATATGAAATCCTTATGGTTTAAATTAAATGGCTTATATGTTACAAAATAAAATGTAGATCTGAGGCTACATCTCAGTATTTAAGTAACTTGATGCTACTTGCTTATGTATTGCAGACATTTCACAAAAAGGAGGGATATATGCAATGTGATTATTCCAGAATGGGAGCAGAAAGAATATGATTTCAGTTTCCAATACAGATACCTTGTCCCAGTTGAGTACAGCTCTTCCTTTTCATTCACAACACTGCCAATAAAATCAGAACTCAGCCCAACAGGTTTAGAAAAACCTCAGAACTTTTGTGGAAAGCCCAGCTAATGATGAGATTGGATTTGCTATGGGAGACAGACTCTCTCTTTCAGGTTTAAACCCATTTGCAGACCAAGATTTCTTCCCTGTCAAAGGCAAACTTTCCCAACACCCCCAGTGCAGAAGGAGGCAGATCTAGAAAGCAGGTGAAGGAAACATGGGCAGGATGCCTGGGTTGTCCTCCCTCCCCTGAGCTGACACTCCCCATCACAAGGGCCATCCAATGCCACCCACTCTCTACCACCTGCCTGCTGGAGATAGAGAGATATTTTGAAAATGAGACAGCTTCAGATCTTAAAATCATAGAGGACTACAGTGTGAAGCACTTGGGATTGCAATGTGGGGCTTTTTAACATCATAGAGTAGATAGATTTAATATATTAATTAGCAAGGGTCTGATCTGCTGCTCATTTAAGTCAATGGGAGAGGTTCCTTCAGCTCCTGTGAGCTTTGATCTAACCCCTGGTTCATGCTTAATGCATTGCACAAGATCTTCTGCAAATAAGCTCAACATTTACAGAAGAGCTTTGCTGGTGTGTGAGAGATGGAGACAGAAGCTGCTGCCCAGCTGGGTGCTGCTCTGCTGGGTGGGAACCACCCACCCCTTCCCAGCCCCTCCACTGGGATGCTTTTCACACGTTATTAAAAACAAGAGCAGTGGCAGAATATCTTCTTCTGACAGCAAAACATGCATCTGCTGTAGCGTGGAGGAAAATAATGAAGGAGCAACATGTGGGGACTGTGAGGAACAGGGTGGTTTTTCTGGGGCAGGGAAAGCTCCAGCCCAGTCTCCTCTCTGCAATGATTGTGGGGTTTTGGTGCCCAAGCTGTGAGAGAAGTCCTTTCCCCTTGCACCATGCTTGAGCACCAGCACATCAGCAAATCCATAGGCAGCAAATCTATGTTCAGCCCTGCCTGTAAAGCTGCTCTGTGAATTTGTCTAAACCCTTTCACCCCCCAGTTACACTTTAGGTCTCCACATGTCTCTGTGTGCATGAGGTCCATGATTCCTGCCTGCACTGCATGAACAAACATTCTTCTTTTTGTTTTAAAGCTGGAGATGAGCTCCTGAATATGCTTGGAACCAGCAAAATAACTCAAGGACTGCAAATGCAGTTCTTAGGGGGGAAAATGGTTTTACTGTAGCTGCTGAGGTGCAGACTTCCTGCACAGCATTTGAGTTTTCAGGTTCTTAGCTACTCCCACGACTAGACCATGGCCTCACCCTTACATTCTGAGCTGCAATGCCCACAGATGGAGGTTAGTTTTAGAACAGTTGCATTTTCCTTGAGATCAACTGTTTCAGAAAGCGTCAAAGAAAAAGGAGCTGGAGCCATAAGCCTTCCTTCCTTCCTTCCTTCCTTCCTTCCTTCCTTCCTTCCTTCCTTCCTTCCTTCCTTCCTTCCTTCCTTCCTTCCTTCCTTCCTTCCTTCCTTCCTTCCCTCCTTCCTTCCCTCCTTCCTTCCCTCCTTCCCTCCTTCCCTCCCTCCCATTTTAGCACCTTGGCAGAACAAGAGCAATGACACCTCCAGCCCTGCTTGCACACAAAACTAAGGTTGTCCCTGCAATCCTTGGGCTGTCAGTGGAAGGGAAAAATTTATCACTGACTTTTTAACTGTGAGGGAGCACAGATGCAAGGACAGTTCTTCATACACATAGAAGCTACAAAGTTAAAGCAATACTTACGTAGATGTGGATTTACTGGAGCTGGAAGACAGAGCAAAAATAAAATTAGCACAAAGAAGAAATTCTATTCATCAATATTCAAATTATCCTAAATTTCCCACTGTTCCCTCCCCCTCTAGACCCGGATCATGGCTCCTAAACTGAGCCAGCCAGAAAACCAACTTCCTTTTTGAGCAAACTCTGTGGTTCCCTGGCCACCCAAAGGCAATGGTTTCAGTGAGGAACCACAACCTGTCCCATCCAGGATGTCTGTGCTCCATCACCAGTACCTGCAGCCTGGGCAACAAGATGCTGTAATTAAGCATCAAACCTAGATTGGTGGTGCAGATACTGTAAGGATGGGGACAGCTGCACAGCAGAGCTCCAGGGCAGTGCCTTTGTACAGGAATGCAGCAAGAACTGCAGAAGGGAAGAATTCATCAAAAGCAGTTCTGCTTCAGACCTTGCTCATCCCTTACAATTTTATTTTAGCACTGTTTAAGAATACTTAAAGTAGTGAATTACCCTTCTACTCAATGAATAGTGCTGTTCTTCAATTTAAGATGTCCATGTACACATGAGGCTTAAGAAACACACAGCACTTGCATTCTTCTTAGAAATGGCAATTTTCCTTTTAAATAGGAGAAAACATCAACACAGCAAGTTTGTGAGAAGAGATTTGATCTCATTGGACCCAGAGACACAACTATGAAAAGACATGAGTCATGAAAAGACATCAATCCTCTGCTAGGGAGGACACAGTTCAAAGAAATGTAAGACAATGACCAAGGAAGGTGAAGTGTGCTGTCCTAAAAAGCTGCCAGCACACCCCTGCTGGAGAGGCCACATTCATTGACTGGACAGGGATGCCCCAGCATGGCTGGTCCTCGATGCAGCTCTCCTGGAGCTGTGCTCTCCAAGACAGAGGAGCAGCAGTGCAGCAGTTCCCTTCATCTTGCATCCCACCTCTGCCTGGTCCCCACCCCTTGGCATGAACAAGCCATGCCAACCCCTCACCTTGCCAGGCATCAAAAGGATTTTGCCAACATAGCAGGGAAACCTTGAGACAACATTGCTGAGAAATGTTCTTTCTGTCTGTTCTTCTCTGGGTCTGTGCAATGTCCTGCATGACATGGCAGGACTGATGGATACTGGGAATCTTTGGGGAAACTGGTAACTGGGCACTCTTCTTTCACAGACCCTTGGCACAATTACAAAAACCTCTACACCTGGAATTCTTTATTATTGAAGTTAATCTACTTAACACCTTAATAGGCTAAACCAGGATGAAACCCAAACCTCACCAGTGCCTACAGGTACCTTACCCATGGGACCAGGTACCCAAGTTTAGGTCCAGGGTAACTTGTGCACTGCTAGAAACTGGAAGTTGGGCTTGAATGAGAAATGAGTCTGGAGTTCTGTGCTCCCTGTTTGCAGGTGGGTACATTTGAGGATGGATGACTAAGGAAGAAGTTCTGCTGTAAGTCTTTATGCATGAGAGAGACAGAAGGATGCTGAGCTCACAGCTGGAATTGCAGGTTATTAACAGAAAATTTGACATAAACTTGTATCTCCAAGAAACAGGTAGATCTGGTAATGCCAGACACCAGAATGAGTGGTGCTCCATGTTTTCTGCTGCCCTTCTCAGGCTGTGGTTACAGACATGGGGTTGTGACCCCAACCATGAATTCTTCCCAGTTCTAGACTGAATCCAAAGTTTTCAAATAAGCTCTAAATTAGCAGCTCTGATATTTTACCTTTCCACTCTGAAAGGAATGACCTGTGATTTGCCCCAGTGCAACCTTCTGAAGAAACTTAGTCATCACTATGTATTAGATAAATTCATAGCTTTTACCAATAAAATTACCTTTCACTCTCCAAGAAACATTCATTTTGTGAAATCCTCGAATGATTGAACTTGGAATTACCTGAAATTGCTGGGAATTAAATTTGATTTGTACAAAACCACAGGAGCATTCATGGAAACTCCCATCAGCACGTAACCTGGAGCCATGCAACTCAGACTGTTCATGGCAGAGCAAAACAGGCTGCTCTTTTGAAGCTTTTTTGGCCTCATTGACAAAAGCTGAAAAACGGATTAAAGGAGGGAGGTAGGCTGGACTTATCTAGCATTAGAAACTAGGAAAAAAACTCACCACAACCAAAGAAAAAAGCCCAGAAAGCTCAGTGTTCTCAGCCCCCCAGCACGCTGCCACAGACACTGCGGGGCTGCAGGGGCTGCCTGTCCGGCTCACAGGGAGCTGCTTAAATTAGCCATAAAAGGGAGTTCATGGAGGGCTGAAATCTCCAAGGCTGACTTTGAAACATCTGGAAAACCTCTGCATCTCAGAAAGTGATCACTGCTGTGCTCAGCTGACCCTGGCTACTGCTGAGAGGAAGGTTTTGCTGGCGGAGAATCTCGGGAGGAGAACAAAGTGTCGCCAAACGTTTGAGCTTGGTTAGAGCCAAGATGGATGATCCCTTCATCTTCCTGCCCTTCCTCCAGTCAGCAGAGAATAAAACCTGCTGGAATTTCAGATTGTTGATGATTTTATTTTTCAGTGATCTGTTTTTGTGCAGGGCACAGCAGAAGAGCTTGGGCTGAAGGGTTTTCTTCCATGCCTGCCTTTCTGTGAGGTGTAACTGCACTTGTACAAAGACAGCTGAACTTCCCACAGATCTGCCCCAACACAGACACTTGCTCAGCTTACCAAAGAGGTGGCCTTCAGAGACTGCAACCTTATGTCCCAGTAAAAAAAAAGCTGCAAACTGAGCTTTCTTAACCATGAAAAGCATAAACCAGAAGGATGCTGGAAGTGCAGCTGCTGTGTTTGGAAGCTGGTTACTGTGGTAATGACAACTGGCACCTAAAACCTTTCATCAAGGGTCCATATCTCTTGGTTAGCACAGGACAAGGAATCTTCACTGCAAATATTGCTGAGCTACAAGGACAAGGTTTTTTTTCCTCCCATAATAGCAATTAATCTAACTTACTATTTATAACACTGGATAATACTGGATATGTGTATCTGTGCAAATGTACAAATCCTACCAGTTATGCCCTGTATGGTGCCCATTTTCTTTTTCTGGAGCTAGAAAGGTAGTAGTAGTAGTAGTAATAAATTAGAACCAAAATGATATGCTTTTCTTCCATACAGAATCTGGGGAGTACCTAAACATCATATGAAAACACACAAACTAGACCACAAAGCAACTGGGCACCACAGTCTCTCTGCCACTGACTCTGTCACAGCTGTAACACTGGGGTGTTGGCTTTCCTGCCCCCTCAGAAAAGAGCTAAACTTGCTTTTTTAATCACTGTTTAACTTCAAAAATATTTCAGCATAAATGCACATCTGAAACAGCAGGGGCTGAAGTTTTCCTTGGAGTGGTTGGAGGACTTGACAGCTAGTTTGTATCCAGCAGGCTGACACAGATTGACATAAAGTGATGGGGATAATATTGCAAGGGTTACTATGAGACCTACCTGCTGTTACTGGGGGACATACCTGGTTTGTATGAGCCTACAAAACATTCATTAGTGCTACTTACATTGCCCTGTGTGTATTTACTCAGCAAACTGTGATCACTAGCAGAGTAACTTAGGTATCTACCAAAGAATTTATCAAGTGATGTTTAGCTGTAATTATCAATGTCACTCCTACTGGGATGATTGCTCTTGTCTCCCAGAGGAGAAAATGATGCATGGCAGGTGAGGGATGTCCCTGTGAAATGCTTGCACCATGGGTAAGTTTTTGATTTATGGGACTGGATACTGTGGAATTTGTATTTTGTATTTATAGCTCCCATTGGGGATGGCAGGGTGCACTGTAAAGAGCTCATTACTGAGGTGTTCCTGCTCTAATAGTCTCCTTATGTTCCTAGAATCATAGATTTTGGATGTTCAGATGGCTACCAGCAGGCTGGTGTATTGGAAGGTGTTCTTTTTATATACTAGCAGGTTACTCTCCAGGCCTGGGTCTTAATTTAAAGGTGATGTGCTCTGCATCATGTACAAGGAGTGTAACCCAAACAAAATAACTTCACAGGTTGGATTAATGTGGCTTAATTTCAGTGATCTAAAAGTTTGACACCTCCTTTAAGAGTGTAATTGGATGGAGTGTCTCCAAAGTCACTGCAGAGATATGGGCACGTCCAGAGGGTGATTCCTCCCCTGGAAGAAACCTGGAGAAACCTTCTCCTCCTTGGTTAGTCAGCAAACACAACCAATACACCAAAAAGGTCTTGGTCTTTACACACTTCCTAACTATGGAAGAAACCTGGAGAAACCTTCTCCTCCTTAGTTAGTCAGCAAACACAACCAAGACACCAAAAATGTCTTGTTGGTCTTTACACACTTCCTAACTGCTCTAGAGAAATCAGTTCTGTGCCTACCCCAGATGCTCCTAGGAAAGACAAGCTTAAGATGTCTAAGTAAAATCAAGGTAGTTCATGGCCTGTCTGTCCTCTATGTGCACAAAAATAAAACTCAGCTGTAAAAGTTGATGTGTTTCTTAAAGGCAAAACCCTGCTACCATTTTTAGCAACACTGCAAGGTGTCTGATCTGCTTCTCACACTGGCTGTATTTCTTTAAAATGGAGTGAAACCTTTCCAGCCTGCTCTAAGTGTAAAAAGTAAAGGGAAAAATGTTTGCAGTGGGAACCCTCACCAATAGAAATATATTGTGCCTTCTAAACCTAAGAAAGAGCTTTTTTACTCTAAGGGTGTTTGAACCAAGGAGGTTGCTCCATCCTTGGAGATACTCATGACCTGAATGGACATGGTCCTGGGTCCTGGTCCTCTGAAAAGAGTATTCCCAGAGTTGTGGGAGGATAAGGAAGGGCTGTCACTGCTAGAGGCCAGTGAGCTTCTGGGCTGCAGATGAGATCTGAACACACAGAAGCACAGGGACACACACACACAGCTCCACTGAAAATACAAAAATGCAACTCTTTTCCCCCTTGTCTGAGGTTTCACAACTTTAAAAAAACCTAATGGGAAAGAAATGTAAAAAAAAAACCCAACCCTTAATTCTCCTTTTAAGAAACTTTTGCATGTTGTCTTTTCTTTGCTGGGTAATGTTGGTGATTATTTCCTCCCCAGCTGCAGCCCTGCTGCTCTGCATCCCGCCAGCCCAGGAACTGCTTTGCTAACTTCCCAGCATTTTGGATGATAAGTATCAGATTTGCACTCTAACAACCTATGCGATACCATCATTTTATAGCTGAAGCTAAAACATCTTTAAAATTGGCCTGGTAATAGTTTGCTGACACTACAGGCACTGGATGAATGCTGAGATAAAGATGCACATTTGCAGCACACGAAGGCTCAGCGGTTCTGGGATCCCTCTTCAAAGCAAGTCACTTCAGGGTTGTTTTTTCCTGATTAGCATCTGGCTCATGATTTCTGAAGCTGGGAATTTGTCAGCACCAGAGCAATGGCACCGAGCAGTGCTCCAAAAGCTGCTCTCCATCTGGGGCAGGAGGCAACAGTTTCCTCTCTCCTGGGCAGCTGGATGGTGCGTTGGCACCTCATCAGCACGGAATGGGATGCTGTTCCCATCTGCACTGATGGCAGATTCCAGCAGGAAAATGTGCAGCAGACAAAATAAGCCTTTTATGCTGCATGGGGATGTTCTTCCTGCCAGCCAGGGGCTAGAAATGTAAATCATATTAAAACCTCAAACTCAGCACAGTTGAGCCATAGCTGAGACCTCAGTCAACCTCCCAAGACTTGCCAAGGTACAACCACCACCAAAATAGAGCAGCAATGATTGAGTGACCTAAATGGTGGCTTTTTCTTCTTACAGGAGCACTGACCAATATTTAAGACACTGGAGAAATTTCATAGAACAGTGGAATGGTTTGGGTTGGAAGGGACCTGTAAGATCACGTTGTCCCCTTGCCAGGGACACCTCCCACTGGACCAGGTTGCTCCCAGTCCCATCCAACCTGCCCTTTGACACTTCCACCAACTCTCTTTAATTGATATTTTGTCCTCATGAGCTTTGGGAAGCTGGACTTAGCAAACCCTTTCCTGAATCAGGTGAAACCTACGGTTCCTCCATCACCATCAGTAGCACATCTGGCACTCAGGGAAACCTGCAACTGGCTTCCTTAGAATTAGTGTTCAAGATTGCTTCATGTAACTTTTTTTCCTTGATATTAATACAGGGATAAAAATAATTGATGATGAGAATGAGTAGGGCTGTGCTAACAACTGATCAGAAAGAACTGCACAAATGATGCACAAGCCATTTAATTTTTTTTGTTGTTTGTTTGATCACTATTTTAAACTATTTTATAATGATTTCTGTATGTAAATCTTGATCTGTAGGTTGTTTTTGCTTCTCTTGCACATCTTTCCCTGCTTTGGGCTCTTGTAGCTATTTGTATAGCCCTAACTACTGTTGATCCAGCCCCTGCAGCAACTGGGACCTACGTGGCTAGTTGTGACTTCACCTGGGCCACGTGGCTTTTGTCCTGTGAAATGAGCAGGTTCCTCATGATAGAATCACAGAATGGTTTGGGTGGGAAAGGACTTTTCAAGGCCATCTAGTCCAACCCCCCTGCAGTGAGCAGGGACATCCTCAACCAGGTCAGGTTCCTCATGATAGAATCACAGAATGGTTTGGGTGGGAAAGGACTTTTCAAGGCCATCTAGTCCAACCCCCCTGCAGTGAGCAGGGACACCCTCAACCAGGTCAGGTTCCTCAGAGCCCTGTCCAACCTGGTCTTGAATATTTCACAGGGATGGGGCATCTCCCACCTCTCTGGACAACCTGGGCCAGGGTTTCACTAACCTCAGCATTAAAGAATTTCTTCCTTATATCTAGTCTAAATCTCCCCTCTTTCAGTTTAAAATCATCACCCCTTGTCCTACTGCTTCAAGCCCTGCTGAAAACTCTGTATCCAGATGATAAACTCCTACTTTGATGATTCCATGTTTAGAAACCTCTTTCCCAGCTCCAATTTCCCTTTTTCCATTATAAAACCTTCCTGGCTAGCACAGCAGGTTCCCAAGGCAAACACCCAGCAGGATCTCTGGTAGAGCTGCCTGCTCTCTGAGGTGCCTCTTGCCCCTTCATGGCCATTTCTTCAGAAGAAAAACAAAACCCAGGTGATTCAGTTACTCATTAAATATTTTGAGGTATTTTGAGGGAATTTTCAGAGCTCCAGGAATTAATCTCTGCAAAAGCTGGGAGACTGAATGGAAGGATGTAAAAAGACTGTCTTTCTCTGGTGAGATTCAAGTGGACAAATCTTTGTCTCGGCACAACCTTTGGAGGAAAAGATAGAAATGTCCTTTTCCACTTGCATAGGACTAGAAATGGTCACTTAAATAAATAAATCACATTCAGACAAAAACTTCTTAGAAAGTGCTCATTCTGGGAGGGGGGAAGAAAATATTTTGATGACATCAAACCACTGATTTGGCACAAATATGACTTGTTTTGTAGACTTCTTTCCTCAAAATTCATCACCCTTCAGAGCAAGAACAAACTCAAGGAAGGAGCTATTTCATCCAGCTAACATTAAGTTTCCCCCCCTTTTTTTTTTCCCCCACAGCATTTCAAGATGATTTTGCTTTTTGGCTGCTCAGGATGGATCACAACACATTTCCTTGTACATGAGGATCTTCTTACCACTGTACTTGATGACCCGGATAGTTGAGTCCCCCTCCCCAAATCTGGTGATGGGTGTCAGTCGGACTTCATAGGCTTCTGGCTTGATCAGCTCAGTCAGGTTGTAGGTAATTAATTCTCCCCTTTGAATATTTCCATTCACTGTAATTTCCTGCTCCCACCAGCGCTGTTGTCCAGCCTAAAATCAAAAGAAGGGTGGAAATGTCAGAGCTTTTGGGATAGAGGTTGTCTTCACCTTGGACATGACAAGGAGCACACCCAGACCTGGGCTAGCCCAGGTGCTTCCTTCAACCTTCCAGCATTGGAAAATCCATTGCAAAGCAATTGAAAACCCATTTTACCCTGAGGCTACCCCTGCCTGTCCTGTGCCTTGACTCCCCTGCCTGTCCTCTGCCTCACCAGCTCCACACCCAACCTTGGGCAGCCTGGCAGGTGGGAATTTGTTGCCTGCAGGCAAAGTGCTGAGTTCATCCACTTGGGAAGCTTTTCTGAGGCTCACCAGGCAGAGAGCACAGCAAGGGATGAAGGACCCAGCTGGGGATGGTGTCCAAGCCCCCAGGCATCCAAGCAGATTCTGCAGCATGTTACATAACCTCACTGAATGCTTCCATCTTTAGGAGCCCACATTCCTTTGCAAACCTGCCCCTGTGTCTCAGACCCACTTTGTAGAATGTTAAGCAACTTTCTTCTTCCTTAGAAAAAAATAAAAAGCTGTTCATTTCAGTCCATTCAATCATATTCCTGTGGCTGGATTTGCTATTCTGTCCCTCTAAGCCTGAGCAGCTTCATTGTCTCCTTGTGCCCAAAGCCCTCCATGATTTCAGCATAATATTGGCCAGATGTGTTTTCTGCCACCATGCTCATCAGGCTGGGGCAGCTGGGGCTCCTTGAGCTGGTGGGAGGCCATGAGGTGTCACATCCAGCACTTGGGCCATTGCTGGGAGCCAACAAGAGCATTCTGAAGGAATCACAGAATCCTAGGGGTTGGAAGGGACCTCGAAAGATCATCCAGTCCAACCCCCAAGGACTGATATGCTGTTTGATTTCTAAGCACTTACCACTTCTGTTGAGCAGTGAGAAAGGAGCAGCCTGGCCACTAACAGCCTTGCTGCATAATTAGCAGCAATCCTTGGAGTCTCCAAGATGGATGGATTTCAGATAACAATGAAAGTCAATATGAGCAAACAACAGGCTGTTTTATTTAAAAAAAAAAAAGCAGAACATAGATTTTTGTGCTTTATAGCCTACACAGTGTTTTCAACATAAAAATCCATAAATTCTTTTCTCTATATGCCTTACCAAGAAATGAAAAGGGAAAAAAAATCTAATTAAGAAGGCATCACAAGAAAAAAGTGCCACACTGTGTCTGAGATGACTTTAACTAGTTTATAGATGAGCAGAAATCAGGTGTATTTTGGGCAGCAGAGTGCAGTGTGACTCGCAGATACTCTGCCTTGTTACAGGCACTATCTGCAGAAAACAAAGGAAAAATCATGAAATATTTACCACACATCCCAAGACAACTGTATGAGCCCAGTGATGCTAAAATGAGATGTTCCACTAAGCCTCCCACACCTCTCAGTGCACCAAAGTTGTCACCTATTACACGTCCACCAATACAGAGTTCAGGGCAGAAAGTCTTTTATTCCAAAAATTGTCATTTGCTGATGCAGTAAAAACATACACTGAAATCCAGTACTAAATCTACCAGATTTCATCCAAATAAACTACATTTGCAGCAAGATGAACTGCCTCCAAGCTTTACACTCCCAGCAGTGGGACAGGGCTGTCAATATTTCATTGATGAAGTACGTGATACCTGCACAGCCTTCTGCCCATTACATAAACCAGACCAAGAGGCAAAAAAGGCAAAAGGAATTCTTAAGAAAGTTGGGATGATGGAACAGCTGGAGACATCAGCTTTGCTTTGTTGCCACCCCCAGCAGTGTGTGTTTTACAAAGGAGGAGAGGACAGGAGGAAATGGCTTCAAGCTGTGCCAGGGGAGGTTTAGGTTGGATATTAGGAAAAACCTTATTTACAGAAAGGGTCAGTAAGCACTGGGATGGACTGCCCAGGGAAGGGGTTGAATCCCCATCCCTGATTGTGTTTAAAGATCTGTTGCTCAGGGACAGGGTTTAGCAGTGGGCTGGTAGAGCTAGGTTAGCAGAGTTAGGTTAAAGGATGGACTCGATGATCTTACAGGTCTTTTCCAACCTGAATGATCCATGATTCTATGAAACACTGCAGACAGACAGGGCTGCCTGTGCAAACGTGTGTGCAAGGACAGGGCTCTGCTGCTCATGCTGCACCAGCTCAAGTAGCCATTGAATTCTGCCTGAAATGCTCACAGGTTACTTAAAACATTGTAGAAACAAAGAGAAGGGGCACCTGGACCCTTCAAATACCTTGAATAATGCACAGGGCACCACGAAGCTGCCAGGCAGCAATCCCAGTCTGGAGCAGAGCATTGTCCTTGAGAGCCAAGTGATGAGAGGGCTGCAGAGAGGACAGCAAGGATGGCTCCCAGAAAAGTCCAAGTGTACTTTTAAGCAGTGCACAGGGAATGTGCCTTGCTGGGCCTGTTGAAGGGATGCTCTTCATGCCAAGCACAGGCAGACCAGCATGTGCTTCCAGAGCAAAGCTGCTGCTCTGAGGGGACCCACTGGAACAAGCCTTTGGGAATGTCTGAACATTTACTGAGTTACCTCACCAGTCAGATGTAATAATCCTATATGTTAAATGTGCAACTATTTCTGGTGTGGGTTGGAAGGGACCTTTAAAGGTCACCTCGCCCAAACCCCCTGCAACGAGCAGGAACATCTTGTGCATTTTCCAAACTCAAAGTTGCTTTTTTAGAAACTACAACTACTTCAACTACCTCTAAAAAATGCAAAAATGGCCAAGGTAAATGAGAATGTTTTTCTCAAAGAGAAGCTCCTGTGTTCACACCCCCCTGATCCCACAGAGAAAATTAAACCCCCAAACTCCAAACCAAAGAAATTCCTGAGAAACTCCATCCTACCCAGTGTTTTTTGACCACATCAAACTGTGATGGGAGCTGAACTCACCATATCTGTACAGACAGTGGTTACAACAAGGCACTAGTGCAGATCATGGCACAGTTTCTCTAAAGCTTTCTAATGGAGACTGAGTCTTTTATCATGAAATAGGTACATGAAAATAATAAGCAGCCAGTTACAGAATTCAGAAATGAGGAACAAATTTGTATGCAAATCATTTAGTCTACAAATGTAAACCTAAGGTCTATATATTTATTAATTGTTTAAAATTTTGCCTGAATAGCTCCCCAAAGAAGTTACATGCAGCTTACATACTGGAAGTGAGGCTGCTTTGCAGACCTCATGAAGGCTACTTCTCCTTCTAGAGGCAGAATTCTTTTGCTTCCACTGTCATTATTGTTGTTTGTTCCTTGTAGTGGATTGCAATTTCTATTATGTTATTATTATTTTTTTTAATCAAATGATGAAGTTGCAAGGAAAACCATTAAACAACTGACTGTGCCCCAGAAGTGAGAGGCACTTCACCAAACAGCATTTCAGGATTGTGTCTGTCCCTTTCCCAAAAATTAACAACCAGAGAAACGTAACATTCTGGGGAAAATGAAATAAGTTTCAACATGAACAAATTAATTGTTTCCCTTTTAAACAGACATCATGAGTGCTTTCAAGCCACATGTTTTATGCCAACATGTTGTTTGCCAATTACATTTGTGAGCCCTGTATTAACAAACCTGTGCTGCCAGGTGTGGGAGCCAATACAGACCTGCTGGCAGCTGTTGGAAGTTATCCAGCCTTTGCTCACAGATATTTCTGATTCCTTATGGTGCTCTACTGTACAAATATTTCCTACTGCACCTGGGCTTGGGATAAGGGAATAGAGACACAGAGACTCCAGCAAATATTGTTGATAATTAATACTTCATGTTTGACATTCACAACTGTCTAAATGAGTAATGATTTTCTCTCAAGCTCCACTGCTGTTTGGAATATCACCCCTTTCTACAACCACCCAAACAAAAGCAATAAAGAAGCTCCATTATTTTATTCATTCTGAAAGCCAAATAATTTGAGTTTTCAGTTCAGTCCTATGCACCCTAAGCCAGTTCTGGACACTGGCATTTCTCCAGATGAAGCAGCTTCTTTGTGCTTTGTAATCAACACCAGCTCTGTTCCAATTCTTATTTTAACCGTGGAAACCAGAACAAAACCCACCCCAAACATCTCAACTCTGCCACTAGGTTTGACACAAGACGTCCCCTTGCCTGATTTCCCAGCTCAGCTGTTCAACAACTAAATAAGGGAAATCATTATTCACACAGTTTTGCCTCAATAGATTTCCAACATTCTCCTTCCATTAGGAAAACAGAACAAATGGTCAGGCTGGGAGTGAAATGGCTGCATGGAGGCATCACTGTTGCTTCCCAGCCCTGGTGTGAAACTGCACCTTGGCTGACAAATATTGAGTCTGTTGGAAATAAATGAAGCCTTGAGCTCCTTGACTTGATGGGACACAGAAGAAAAAGGAAGGCTGGACCTCTATGGAGCTGGGGAGCCAGGACACCTGCTGGAGGAGCAAGGGGTTTCTATAGCACAACATTTTTAAAGATCTGCATGATGCTGAGGCACATCACACCAACACTGAGATGCCCAAGACACCCCCAAATGAGAATTTAGATTCCTACCACACCTTAGAGCAGTTCAAATTCCTAGCACAGAACTGGGAATGCTCTGCATAGCCAGAGCCCCTGGAGGAGGAACCCAAAGCTCTTGGCTTTTGCTGCTTGGCATGAAAGCACCAAGAAGCATCCAGCCCTCAGCCCTTGCTCCTGCAGCACTGTCTGTCCACCTGCAGAGACCTGGACATCTCCTCCAGCTCCCTCAGACAGGAAAGAGCCAAACCCACAACATCTACTTCCTTGAAGTCACCTGTACAACCTCTCCCTAGCATTCAGGTTGTGCCTTTTTATATTAAGAAGGCAAAAGTGATGCTTCAAGGTGAGAATACACAAGCAAACCAAATCATAAAACATATGCCTGGATGGCAATTCATGTATCCACAGCTTTCAAATTGATAAGAATCAGGATTTGCTTGAAAAGGAATTTTTGAAGGAGAAAAACTCTTTATCATCGACATTTATTTACCTTACAAAAATAAGG